TTGTGATTTTGTGGATAGCAACTTTAACATGGAGTCGTTACAAGATATCGTTGTGGAAGGTGTTACTGCATTCGTTGAGCCACCTGCAAAGAATTACCGCTATGTCATCGAGTTGAAAAGCTCAAAAATGAGCATTTGGATCGAAGATCGAACATCGAATATGGTTTCAAGAACGTGGGGTAGCATGACTCTAAATAACGTGCTTATACGATGTTATTGTTGTGCAGGTTTAAGGGCGGCATGGTCAAAACAGATTATGTGTCATCGGCAAACGCCATTGCAGATGCATCGGAGAGAGACTACGTCAAGGTAAGAAACAAAAATGGATGGTTCATCAATGGAAGGGTTAATGTTCCTCACGTTTGCTGTATAGTGCTTCCAAGACATGTTGGACTGCAAGCTGGACGATTCCAACGATGTGCATCGAAAGCTGTTCCCGATACAAGGTGGAGGTGTCCGGCTGGAATTGGGCGTTGCAGTTCGTGTTCTACGTGCGACGCGTCTGGTCACGTACACGTTTGATCTCGATCCCGTTTCTGTTGAACGACTTGACATTTTGGAGTCGAAGTTGCGTGACCAGCAAGAAGAAGTGGAGAAGCTTCGTGGTGAAGTACAAGATTGTGGAGCACCCCTTTTTGTTAAACTGACAGCATCCAAGATGAGTGGAAGCTCGATCGTGTGGGATGCGATCGAATCGGATCTGCTGATTTCGACGGGCTTGGATGGCAAGATCAAAATGCTTCGAGGGGGTGTTTACAGTATTGCTGTTGTAGTAAATGCTGTACCTAATGATTACAACTACAAGGTCGAGCTACTGAAGAATGCTGCTTCAATGCAGGCAGCAAATACGGGATATTCGCAAGGCTGCGGCTGCTCCGCTACGCTGTACACGATTGAGCACCTGCAGACGAACGATGAATTGACAACGACGTGTGAGGTCTCTCTCTCCGTCTTCTCTTTCCTGTCCATTATTCGAAGCGGTCAACAAGGTTTGCGTAAGCCGTGTTGGAGGGTAGCTTCAATCTGTTGCTGCAACTTTTACCGGTGCTGAACCAATGATTGCTAGTCTATACTGCATTTTGCTTCGGAATCGAAATGACAACCACATTTTTCGCAAACGTTTCGTATCTAATTTGAGTCTAATGTTGTTAAGATGCAAAGTTCTCAACGTTGTTCATTGAGTTGCCTGAGGATGCTGTATATTCTTCATATATTTTTGCTTACGAGTAGTAGTAGTTCTGCACGCAACTGCTTGCTTCGCTAGCAAGGACGTGAACAAACTTGACGCTTGAAATATAAAAATGTGTCGTGGCGATAGCGAGAGCTACATTGTAATTGGGTATTCTAGTTATCATTATCGTGCCAGTCACCACTCGACAGACAAAGTGTAGGTCTTATGACTGGTATCTTACCTTTTTCTCTCAAAATATGATCGATGGTTTAATGTCCAGACGTTGTCTATTGTTGAAGCAACGATTAACATTACCATTCGTGTTTACCGATAACTCTGCACACACGCGTGCCATGTGCTGAATGACTTGTGCAAACCATTTAATCTCGCATATGAGTATGTGTTTATAGAACATCATATACGCAAATCGATCACAAGGAATGAGTGCGGTCTTTTTCTTTGCAGTGACCGATTTCGTTGGTAATGGCAGTGGCAATAACAGCTACTGAATGCAGTCAAATTGCAAGGGCATTCTACAGCGCCGCTTTTCCGTATCGCTAGAAGTCAACAACACGCGGTAGATTTATCATCAAAAAAATATAAGGCTCATTGCGCTCACCGAATCATCGCAAGACTCGATTTGGTTCAAGCTTTTTGGCGGGATGAGCTAGGTAAGATATACGGGCTAAAGAGAGCTAAGTCAAGACCCCCAAAGCTCCACAAGTAGTCCATGGATGTATCGACATTTGCTACTATGTTTCATTAAAAAGCTAGTTTGAAAATTCACTAAATACCGCTTTGAAATGATAGCTCACGTAGACGACGAAAGATAGCGCGAATTGGGTGCAAAAAATAAGCTGAAGATGACACCGAACTGTTATGAGTAGCTAGGGCTATCATTAAGAAAATGTCAGACTATGAAACAAGAGAATGCAAGCAGAGGGCATAAAAGAAGAAAGCAGGGGCAAGCGTGAGCGTAAGTGGATGTAGTGTTTGAAATAGGGTTGAAATGAAGTCATTTTCTATTCTACCTTCTCCCGAGCAAAACTTCCAGTCCTACCAGTGTAAAATCTAAAACCAGTGAGACTCTATGGTTTACTTGCGTAGTTCGTAAAAATATGCCTACTTGAGTGTTGTCCGCTTGCCTACAATGTCGGGGCATTAAACCATTCGATCACGTTATGAAGGGAAAAATGCTGAGATATTACCTGACAGTTTGAGCTCACATTTTCGCAGCAACATCTATAAGTGAACTGATGACG